GATGAGGCTGCTCCACTTCTGATCTGGCTCCCTGCTGATATGCCTGAAAAAGCAGCAGAGGACGGCCCAAACGGTTGGACCCCTGGACCAATGTGAGACCTGAAGGAAGTTCAAAGTTCCTTGCTTAGCCCTGCCCGCTGAAGCCATCTGGGGGAATGAACCAACAGAAGGCAGATCTCACTCTGTCTCTCCCTCTGTCTCCTTAACTTTGCCTTTCAAACAGATTTTAAAAACAAAAAAACTGAAGAATTCCAAACAGTATCATACTGAAGAATGGGTTAGACAGAACAGGCAACACAAAGCAGATGCCAGAACTAGACCCAAATCAATAAATCTTTTTTTAAAACTAGATTCCAGAGTAGGCGTTTGGCACAGCAGCTGACACACAGGTTGGGATAGCAGTCGGGATCCCGGTTCCACGTCTATAATTCTGCTGCTGTTTGGGCAGTGGCTTAGTAAATATGAGATCTCGCTGTCTATCACTGTACTTTTTCAAAGAAATTAATAAATAAAATGTTAAGAAAAAGGAACAGACCCAAATATAAATGAAGTTTGTCATAGGATAATACTTCACACCCATAAGATTAAAAGATGGATTGTTTAATGAATGACATTTAAAGACCTGGCTAGTCATCTGGGAGAAAAAAAAAGACAAACTCACGTTAAGACCTTTTACCTACGTAAAGCTCAGATTTAGCAGTTATTTAAAAGGAAGAAAAAAATGAAGCCACCATGCTTTAGTTTGTTTTTATATCCTTGTAATTTCAAAATGAGACAACTCTTTCTAAGAAGCTAAAGCCACAAGGAAAAGATCCAATATTTCAAACTTGTACAAATAAACATTTTTGCATGAGGAAAAAAAAATCACCAAAAGTCAAGATTCACAACAAACTGGAGAAAGTTATTCACAAATCATACAGAAATTGAGTCATTTCCTCAATGTAGAAAAGCAATTGGAAAAGGACTAACTACCCAATACTTCCATGGGCAAAAGAAATGCAAATACTTTTGAACAAGAATAGACATGTAACTTGAGATATACCAGGTTGCAGGCACTTGGCCTGCCGGTTGAGAGCCAGCCTGGTTCTCTCACATATCACTTACTGGAGTACCTGCATTCAAGCCATCATTCCATTCCTGATTGCAGCCTTCTGCTGGCATACAAGCGGGGGCGCAGCAGGTGGTGCCTCAACCACAGGGCTCCACTACCTGAGCATTGAGTTCCCAGCTCCTGCTTGTTGCACGCACTTGGGAAGTGAGCCAGCAGAGAGAGAGCTCCGACTGTCTCTGTATCTTTGTCTTTTAAATCAATAGAGTGGGCGCTTGGTACAAGAGTTAAGATGCAGACATTCCGTATTGGGGTGCCTGTGTTCTTGTTCTTCTTGCTACGGCACACCTTGGGGGGCAGCAAGCCATGGTTCAAATACCTGAGCCTATATGCCACACAATGTAAGTGACTGAGTTCTAGACTCCCGGCTTCAGCCTCTCCCAGGCCTGCTTCAGTCCCTGCTGTGGCAGACATTTGGAGAGCAAACCAGCACGTGGAAAATCTGTCTCTCCCTCACTGTCCCTTCCTCTGCCTTTCAAATAAAATATTTGAAAGGATTTTCTTTAAAACAAAATACGGTGGGGGCCCAGCACGGTAGCCTAGTGGCTAAAGTCATCACCTTGCTTACACTGGGATTCCATATGTACGCTGGTTCGTGTCCCAGCTGCTCCACTTTCCATCCAGATCCCTGCTTGTGGCCTGGAAAAGCAGACAAGGACAGCCCAAAGCCTTGGGACCCTGCACCCACGTGGGAGATCCAGAAGTTCCTGACTCCTGGCTTTTAATCAGCTCAGCTCTACTTATTACAGCCACTTAGGGAGTGAACCACTGGATGGAAAGTCTTTTCTCTGTTTTCTCCTTCTCTCTGGCAATCTGCCTTTCCAGTAAAAATAAATAAACCTTTAAGGAAAATACACTGTACCTACAAAACTATCACGGAAAATAAAAGCAATAAAAGATAAATTTAAAAAGCACACTGTTCACCCAATTACACTGATTAAGACCAAACGTGAATGCTGCGGTGAACAAGAGTGCAGGAACGTGGCCTCGTACCACGTAAGGGATTCCGAAAGCAGCATCTCTGCTCTGGGGCCTGAGTGTCTGTCCAGCATCTTAACCGCTGGGCCAAAGGCTGCCTCTCCTGTGTCTCCCACATGCGCTCTATAAAATCCACCCCGGCGTGGAACCTAATTATCTTGTCAGTAGGGCTGGAGTTCAGGCTCAGCAGAGAGCGGTTTAGTATCTGCAACATCAGCCCATCCACGGCGCTCAAAGGACTCTGTCCCACACATGCACTTTCACATTTAGGAAACACCCCCATACCATGAAACATCGTAATAACATTTGTCAGGGCAAAAGAGCTCAACGGGGGATTTCACCAGGTCTTAGTGCATTCGGGCTGCTTGGACAGCTCATCAAAGAGCAGAGCTTCATGTTCTGCTGCCTGGAGGCCGGGAGGTCCATGACGGGAGCACCACCAGTAGGCTTGGTGTCTGGGGAGCACTTGTCTCCTGCTCGCAGCGTCCTCCTGCGCTGGAGGCCCGAGCGAGCGTGCACTGAGTTCCCAGCTCCTCCCTGGTGCAGGGGAGTGAACCAGCCTCATTCGTGAGGCCTCAGCTGAAGGGTTTCCCTTCATAGGAAGGCAGGGGAGCAAACATTCAGATCATTCAGGTTGTCACCTCAGTTGCCTCCGGGACAGGGAAGAGGACCACGACGAAGATGTCCCACACTCAGACGTTTAGATCCTGTAAATATATTTTGCTATTCAAAAGTAAGTAGAATTCAACATTTGAAAACTATTCCTTTTGTCTAAAAAAGAGGTGCTGTTCCTTTTAGAAAACAATTTGTGAAGAAGCAAACCCAAGCAGAAGGCACCATGATCCACCCTCGAAGTCATGTGGCTTAGACAACTAAGTTTTATTTGTATGGATGGAAGCGGCAGCCATCAACACATTCTGTTTTGCTTTTGTCTTGAGAAGTAAACTCTGCTTTAACAACAACAACAACAAAAAAAATCAGCATTTTCTTAGCTGGTAATGCCACTACAGACACACATTCTATGCAAATACATTTTATATATCCATTTAAAATAGCATGATTTTTACTGTTGCCGCACTGAGCTACCATCTTAGACTCTTTTCCCCCTTATGCATAACAAGAGAAAAAGCCTTTTTATACCTATAAGTACACAGTGATCATCAAAGAACAGGCCAGTGATGCGATGGAAACCAGCCCTGCCAAAGCAGGGGGGAAAAGCTCGGGTTTGTAATATTTGCCCATTCCTGTGGTGTCAATATAACCACCATAGCTGCCTGTCCATGCCCACGGTAGCCGTGCCCCTGCTGGCCGCCCACGAGGGAGCAAAGGGCAAGCCAGAGAAGTTGATGAGAGAGGCTCCCGGGAGTCCCTGCTTCCTCAACTATGACAGCAAGAACAGGAGGGGCGAGGAAGAGCACCCCAGAGCCATAGGTTCCCTCACCGCCCCTGACAGTCACCGTGACCGAGCTAAGCTGCGGTCTGCTCCAGTCCGGAGGTTGCATCCGTTTGCCACATTTGCTTTTGGCTTTGGATACTGTTGTCCCCAGCTGCGGTCGTAGCTGGAATCCATTAGCTCTCAGCCCCACTTCAGAAAACTCCCACTTCCTCCCCAAACCCTGCCTGGCTAGCGTAGTGGTCCCTCCCCAGATCCTGCCTAACTGGTTTGCTGCACTGGCCTGGTTCAGGGTGACTGACTTAGCTAACGACTTCCCACTCTTCCCAGCAGACTCCCAGGGGAACTGCCCAGTTCCTTAGCTCAGCATCCTTCGCTCCGGAGCAGCCTTGGGAACCAGAGTCTGACCTGGTTTTGTTTTGAAGTAGAAATAAGCACTCAACGAGTAAGAAAAGGCTGGTTGGAGGCTACAGATCTGGTCAACAATTTGGCCTTTCTCTTGATTTTCATATAATGCTGGGTCTGAAGTAGTTTAACAAAAATGGCTCCTTTGTCCAGGCGGGGATAGCAGGTGGCCGGATTGATGAAGCGGCTATTGATCTCCAAGGGTAAATGAGGCAGGCTACAGTCCCTTTAACTCAATCCCAAGCTGGAAGGATACCTGCTGTCCAGGAAGTGCCCACGTCTGGCCATGATAGGGTGTTCCTTAGCCGGTCTGTTCAGTTCGTCCAGGGTCCAGGAGCACCTGCCCCATCCTGTGGTCCAAACACGATGATCCTTTAGGGAGCAGTGCAGTTGCTGCTCCCCCGTCCACAGTCCTGTGTCTACTTCATCATTCAGCATCCCTCCCTTCTCCACAATCCTCACGCGTTGCCATGTGAACCACATGCCTGGGTAGTTGATTTACAGCGGCCTTATATTTCGCTCTAATTATTTCAGAGGCATGCCACCTGTCTCCCAACCTAGACGCAGTGTTGCTAAATGGCAGGGCCGTGTTTTTGCATTTTGATTTCGATCTCGGCTTTTGGCTTCGGAGCAGTGTGGTTGATGGATTGCTCTTTTCCTCGATGACGCACCAGTTCAGCTCCAAGCCCACTGAGGTCCCTACTCTCCATCCTTCCCATTCTCACCGACTACTTCCCAACTCCTCAACACATGAAATATTAATAGACACAATACCTAGGACCAGGATTTGGGGCGGGGGAGTGCACAAAGAGGCTGTGGCACAGATCGAACGAGACCCACCTGCCTCTTTCCTTCCCAGAGCGTGCGTGTTGCGGATGGATTGCGTGCGCCTGTTTCCTGGGAGGATGGGGGAGGGAGAAGGAAGGCAGGACAGCTTCCCACCCCACCCCGCCCCCACGGTATCCCAAGCACAGTTTAAAGCCTGGCACATACCAGCACTGAGTGAAAGGAGTGTGTGGAAGGCAGAGGAGGCACTCCAGCAGGTGTCCGCTGCTGCTTCCTCCAATTAAAAAAGGGGGAAAAAACTAACACAAACAAACTCCCGGGCTCTTTCAGACGACACAAGATCTACAGAGAGCAGATGAACCTCACCTCGTCCGAGCCCCCGCTGCAGCTGCGACTCGAGGCCAGCTGGGTCCAATTCCACCTGGGCATCAACAGCCGCGGGCTGTACTCGCCATCCAGTCGTGTGGTCAGCGACCTCCTACACGACATGAGGCACTTCCCTACCATCAGCGCCGGTGCGGTTGGTTCCAGGAGTCAGGCAAGGGAGGCTGAGCTTTTCCCAAGAGAGGCTGGCTGAACGGCGGCGTGGGGCCAGAGGAAGGATGGGCGGGATGGGAGTGGGGGAGGCTGTGGCTCTATTCCCCTTTGAAAGAGATCTTGTAAATCTAACCTCATCAAGATTTCATTACCAGAAGCACTGGAGGGGTTGGGCGCCCTTGGAGAAGGGCGACTCCTACTGTTCATTGTTGAGTTTCTTTTTTGAGCTGAGAGGCGTGTCGCGTCTCACACAGGACCACAGGCACCATGGATGCCGTGGTTGCCATTTCACAGATGGAAAAGCAGAGATTCAGAGATAGGAGATAACCTGCTGAAGGAGCCAGGGAGGAGACTGGGACTCAAGTCTCCACATCCGTGCCTGGAAGTGGTATAGTGTGTGCACTGACAGCAAATTCTTAGCAAGGAAGAAACTGGAATTGGTCTCCCAGACTTGGTCTCCTAGACCTGTTGCAGTGTCCACCCAAGGACTGGAGAGTGTGGGCCCCGGGTTGGAGTTGAGTGGGAGGCTGCACCCACCTTGGGCTACAGGAGAGCTGCTAGCAAAGGGCCAAAGGCCCAGGTGACATTCCAGTCGCCCATCCTAGTGAGTGAAAATCAAGGGTCCTGCTGTGGTTGGCTCCCCTACGGACAGGGCTGGGAGAACTCATCGCCTCTCTCCTCCTTCACAGATTACAGTCAGGATGAGAAAGCCTTGCTGGGGGCCTGTGACTGCACCCAGAGTAAGTATCCTAACCCCACCTGCTTCCAGCACCTCACCATCACAGCATTAATTCCCAGTGGGGTCCTGACCAGGAATGGAAGATGGAGAAGAACTGCTCTATTCTGCCTAATCTCTGGGACTTCACACTTCCTCCTCTGAGCCCTTCTCCCAACCCCCCACCCCCACGCCACCCAGCAGCAGTACAAAAAGCAAAGACATGTACAGGACGCACTAATGCAGGCCCCCATCAGCAGCTGCTGGTCCAGGCACCCCAAGGAGCTTCTTAGAAATGGGGAAATCCAATCTGCACACTGATTTCTGACTCAACAATCTGGGTTTTAACATGAAGTAGAGTGAGTGCCATTTCAAATTGAACAAGCAATGTGTACAAGGCAGTAGTTCTGCGAGGCCAGAAACACCGGGGAAGCTTTTATTAGCATCACTTCCCCAGGTGAGGCCCAGGCATCTGTGGTTTTTAAATACTGTGCAATTCTAATGCAGCTTGAATCCCTCAGGGACAAATGATTAATAGAATCAAAAAGGTAGGCCAGTGTAGCCATGTTCCCTGCTGGGGACACTGCGAACTGGTTACAGGTGGCCCTGGACACTGAGGCCCCCAGCAGGCCACAAGTAGCCTCCATTTGTTTACCTCTGTTTGGGTGGACATGGGAGACATTTCTGCAAGTGACACGATGTATCAGAGGTGTGAAAGATAAAAGTCTAGAGGGCCCTGTATCCCTTTTCCTCTCCCTAAACACCTGCTATGCACTATGCTACAGAAAACAAAGCAAGGCAGGACTTGCTAACGGATAGAACAGGATGAGGCCAGTGAGGTGACCCAGATGAAAATAGTTCTCTCTTTTTTTTAGTTTTTATTTATTTATATGAGAAGCAGAGAGAGCCTCAACAGCTAGGCAAAACCAAGAGATGGGAGCTCGATTCAGGCCTTCCCACAGGGACCTGATACTGGAACCATCACTGGTGCCCTCTCAGGATGGCATTAAGGGAGCTGGAAAACCAACGCTGGATACCTAATCCATGTGCTGTGCCCGTCCCAAGCACTGGGCTAAATGCCTGCCCCACCCCCTGCCAAGATGTCAGGAAGCAAAGGTCCCAGCCCAGGTGTCCTTGGCTAGGAAGATAAACTAGTCTGCAAAGCCACAACCAGGGTCTTCCAAGGGTACAGTGAAAACACAACGTTCCCAGGGATTTTCATTAAGCATCTTTCTGGGGAAACCTGGACCATCTGCCTGGATACTGGCAGAAGAGAATACCATCTTGAACCCCTGGCCAGACACTCCTTGGTTTGACCCCACGGACTTGACCCCGCATGCTTTGAGAAGGAAATCCACTTCTGATCCCAGCTTCCTGTTAATGTGCACCCAGTGCGGCTGGCTTCAGGACCTGGGTCCCCGCCATGCATGGGGAGACCTGGGTGGAGTTCCCAGCTCCTGGCTTTGGTCAGGCCCAATCCCAGATGTTGTGGGCATTTGGGGAGTAGCCTGGCTGACGCAGAATCTTCCTCCATCTCTCTGTGTCCAAACTCCTCTCTCTCTCTCTCACTTTTCTCTCACACAAAAATAACAAAAATTGGAAGCAATAAAGAAATTGTACCCCATAACATGTATAAGTATTACATGTTCATTCAAGCAACGTAAGTAGGGAGAGGAGAAAGGAAGGGAGTTAGCTGGGCTTGGGGAGGCTAACGAGCCCTTCTACCTCCTCACAGTTGTGAAGCCCAGTGGGGTCCACCTCAAGCTGGTGCTGCGGTTCTCGGACTTTGGGAAGGCCATGTTCAAACCCATGAGGTAAGTGAATGCCTTCCTCACCACCACGCCCACTGGGGCTGCGCCGGGGTGGGTACACTCAAGAGTCCAACTTCCTGCCCACGGAGCACCTGCCCACAAATGGCAGGTGGCGGGGCCGACCAGAAGGACCCCAAATAGTGTCGTAGCCCCTGAACACTCTGGCAGAAGCACTTCCTGAAGAAAGGGTTGGAGGGGATGGGCTGCACGCTGGATTTGCCGGGGCAGCCTTCAATAATCCTGCTGGCCACATTCCAACCGCGCAAGGTACCCGCTGGCCCTGCAATGTCCCTCCCCCAACCCATTTTTCTGATGTAGGAATCAGTTTCCCGATCAATTTAAATACATAATCTCCCAAAGATGAACACTGAGACAATCAAATGTGTGCTTATGGTTGTTCTCAAAAACCTCATCAAAAATTAAGTGACATACAGATTAACACACACAGCTTCCCCACCACCAACTCTCATATTTCACATGCTAAAACATTTTTGACCTTGGATACCATGTCCAAATCAAGTCTTATTTTCAAAGTCTCCACTCCTCCCCACCGCTCCATCACCACCAGCCACCTGTTTTACTAGCAGCTCCAGCAGGTCCTAAAGCCAGCGCCCAGCGAAGTCACTGTGGGTCCCCGCGTCTTCCCCAAACAAGACACAGGGACTAAGAGGGACCGTCATCCTCTAAGAAACAAAACAAGATCATCTGGGCAGTTTCCAGAGACCCGGTATTTTCTATTCAGGCGTAAAGAGGACTAAAACCAACCCCTACTCCCTCGTGGTGCTGTCCAGCGGGAGCTCTGCGGAGTGCAGGGCAGGTTCGGCAGCGGGCAGCAGGACCCAGCAGCCTAAGTTTTCATCCTCAGGAGTGCAGCGTGCACCCAAGGGAGCACTGGTTATAGAGAGGCCATGTAGAGAACGTGGATGCAGAGACCGCCAAGCTCAGAAGCCTGGCAGTGCCAAGGAGTCTGCCGATTCAACACGACTGCCCGGGTGCCTGAGTTGAGTGCCAGGCACATCCACAGTCCCCGTTGTTGAGAACGATGCTGCACGGAAGAGCTGCTGTTTTGCTTGGCAGAGCCAGGAAAGGCAAAGCCAGGGGAATTGTGGGTGTTTCATTAATTGGAAAGTCAAGCCCATCACCTGTAGGTCTGGTCAGCCAGATACACACACAGATGCTGTTCCCACCACCAGCCACTTCCTCGGGGACAGCTGCAGGGCCTCCACCAGCCAGAGCTCTGAGTGACGGTCACTTGTCCACTTCTTGGGCCATCACAGAGTTGAGTCTCTCGTTTTATCAAATGTAGTTCCAGATCAAGATGATATCATCGTAAAATGTGCTTCTTGAAAAATCATGCTTTTCCTGACAGGCTCGTTTTTCTTATCTGTAATTTAAAGTAGACAGCACTTTTCTCCTCCTTGTCTAAAGAGGGTAACGTAGAAATCTATCTTTGGGAAATATACCTTGAGAGCTTAATTACAGGTTACTGCTGAAACACAACACACATGGAGGCGGAAGTTATTGCTTCCCAAATTAGAAGGAAATGAAGGAGAAATTCTTCAAATTTAAAATCCCTTCTATCCCGTGCCTTATAAAAATGAGGAAATGATGGGTTTTGAAAGCCCTAGGAGAGGTCCGAAAGAGTATATTCAAAGGAACTCCAGAAAGTTCATGAAAAGGAGAAGGCAAAAGAAGTTGATTTGGGTGCAAAGAAATGTTGCACTTCATAGACAGGAGCATTGTGTCACAGCATGCATTGCTTTTGAACTTTTTGCTGAGCCCTTACATGGATTTCAAACTTTTCTTGTCCAACTATCGTCTCTCACTGAATTTCCTTGAACATGATGTGCCCTCATATCCCTGTGGATGGGATGCGGGACTCAGAACGAGATGGGGGACATGTCTGGTGGTTCAGGCTCAGAGGCACGCAGCAAGGCTATAAGGGGGAGGCCCGAGTGAGGCAGGCTGCGCTCTCCACGTGGCTGCGGCTCTGAAAATAGAACCTCTGCTTTGGGCAGGCACCTCGCTGTGGTTTCCGGGACCAGCCTGTGTTTTCCGGCAAAGTGCGCATCACCACCTCGATGGCCAGTGCTGTTTACCGACAGGTTTCTGCCATGTGATGTTTATTTACACTTGGAGTTGTTTTTGTAAATCCTCCTAACCATCCTACATGGTGGGTTATAAAATTAGCCCACATCGTTATTCTTGTGTGTTTGTCAAGACAAAAGGCAACCCAAGTCAATCCATGACAGTGACCAGGAAACACTGTCCTGAGGCATGCACACGTGTGTGCGCGCGCACACACACACACACACACACACACAAACTTCGTGCACACCTTGGGCAGGCTGGCGCTTTCCAGGAAGCTGTTCAAGTTGAGCCTGCACATCAATCAGCATCTGCTACTCTAACCCCCGGCAACCCTCTCTGGCTGGGCCCACTCTTGCCACCCAGCTGTCCCTGCAGGGACAGGCTCATGTTGTCTGCCCAAGTCACACTAAGATCCAGAGCTCAGCTGTTCCCTAAGTCTCAATCCCAGGGAATTGCATCCTCCGGCCATGGGCCTCAGCACTGCTGTGGATGCGGACAATGTCAGCACCATCCCACCAGGCCCCACAGCTTTGGTCTCGGGCTCTCAGCTGAGGTCCGAGTCCAGGTGCTGACTCCTTCTTCCTTCCAGACAGCAACGAGACGAAGAGACGCCTGCAGACTTCTTCTATTTCATTGACTTTCAGAGACACAATGCCGAGATCGCAGCGTTCCACCTAGACAGGTAGGGTCTGGCCCCGCGGGGAGGACGTCCACCAAAAGCACCGGCACCGGGGAGGCGTGCTGGACAGCCGTCCAGGAGGGAGCTCCCTGGCATCTGCTCCTTCTGGCTTCCCACTTTTTAAAAATCCCTGTTTGTTTTCAGAGAGAACGAGTGCACATACGCTAGAGTGTATAAATATCACAGATCCGCTGGCTCACTCCCTAAATGCTCACAACAGCCAGAGCTGGGTCAGGTGCAAGGCAAGAACCTGAAACTCCATTCAGGCGTCCCACATGGGTGGCAAGGACCCAAACATTTAAGAAATCAGCTGTTGCCTCCCAGGATGTATGTCAGTAGGAAGCTGGAATTGGAAGCTGAGCGAGGATTTGAACCCGGGAACTCTGACATGGGATGCATCTTCACCACAGTACCAAACACCTGTCCCTCACTTGCCATCCTCTTCCTACCCCAGTGTGGTCCTCCTAACCCAATCCTTCCCATCCCGTCCCATGGAACTCAAAACCATAGCATCTCAACGTAGTAAGAACCATTATTTTATGAAGAACAAGAACCCTGCCCTGCTGCCCAAGGTGCCAGCTTGGGCTTGGCATTGCCTGATCTGATAATGAGAAGGCACCTGCTCCCATTGGTGCAAGGGGTCTTCAGGTGAGTTCATTAGCAGGTGAAACCACATCCCTCAACAGATTAGTGCCTCCCACATGCTCAGTCCACCTCCTTCACCTGGCTAGGCCTGTCCTGGGCACTCCTGGTCCCACACAATGCAAGGAATCTCCATCAGGGCCATCCTGCTGGGCAGTCAGAAATGCCAGCCAGTTGCCAGTGTGCTTCAGCCTCGGTGAGGGTCCTCTCCTCCCTCCCACCCCACTCCCTGACTGTCCCCCAAAATGCCAACAAGGGTCCCTCTCTTTCAGGATCCTGGACTTCCGGCGAGTGCCACCAACTGTGGGGAGGCTGGTCAATGTCACCAAGGAAATACTAGAGGTGACCAAGAATGAAATTCTGCAGAGTGTTTTCTTCGTCTCTCCAGGTAACAGTCCCGGGCAGGGAGGACCTGGTGAGCCCACATGGCCAATGTTAGGTGTGTGCGTGCAGTAGTCTAACCACTGCCAGGTGCATTGCTGAATGGGCAGATACTGTCATCACACACTCCCAGCCTGGTATGTCTGAGGATCACACCAGAGAAACTGTGGATGGGGTAAGGCTATGAGAGCTGACCAGCCTGTCGGGGACCAAACCTACAGAGCTGGCCTCTGTGCACTCAGGCATCAACCCACCCAGAGCAATGAAGAATGTTCTCATCATATGGCCAGGAGGCAGAGCGCCAAGTCCCAACCTTTCTCTGTTCTACGTGACAGGTGGTTGGCAGCACCCAACCAGCCCCACTTCTGGAGAAGGCAATGCCTTTTCCCAAGGTGTTGAGTTGGGGATTTGTCGGGGCAGGAAGATGGCGCACCTCCAAGCCCGATCTCCCTCTCATGCCTCTCCCGTCTCCTCTCCCAACCTCCAGCCAGCAACGTGTGCTTCTTCGCCAAGTGTCCGTACATGTGCAAGACCGAGTACGCTGTCTGTGGCAACCCGCACCTGCTGGAGGGCTCCCTCTCTGCCTTCCTGCCGTCCCTCAACCTGGCCCCCAGGCTGTCTGTGCCCAACCCCTGGATCCGCTCCTACACGCTGGCAGGAAAAGAGGAGTGAGTTGGTCCCCTGGCCACGATACTGTGCCCACGGCCCTGCGAGCGCAGTCCTTGAGAGTGGCCATGGTCCCTAGACCCAAGAACCATGGCTGGCCTGGCCTTGGGTCCCTGGAAGCTGCCTCAATGCTCTTTTGTGTCCCTGTCATATGGACATATTTGAAAACTGGTGGTAGGAGGCTCAGCTGAGCAGCACTCAGCAGCCCACCCCTGGAACAGGCAATGCTCCCCCCTGCTGCTTCTGCCCAGGCTGAGTCCAGCTCCCCAACCCCCATCCCGGGTGGATCTCCTGGGGTAGGAAGATGGCACACCTCCCCAGACCCCCTTGCCCTCACTTTGCTCCTGTCCCCTCTCCCAACCTGCAGTCAGCAGCGTGTGCTTCTTGGGGCAGTTCTCCTTGGCCTCCTTTCATACTGATCCTGGAACGAAGTAGCCTGGATTGAATCTCTTTGTTTAGTTCATATGAAGTGCTGATGAATCAGGACATAGATACAGGCTGCCCCCTAAAGCAGCTCAGCGGTCTGTAAGATCTCCCCACATTGATTTTACAGCCACCCATGTGACCCTACCCAGGTCCTCCCAAATGATCCAGCATGCTGAGAGACTGTCCCAAGTCAAGGCAGCTTCAGTGGGGTGGGGGTGCGGGGCTGGGCCTCCGACTCCTCGCTGTCTTGGGGTCAGCCCAGGGACTTCTTTCACCTCAGGTGGGAGCTCAACCCCCGCTACTGTGACACAGTGAAGCAGATCTACCCCTACAATAGCAGCAGCCGGCTGCTCAACATCATCGACATGGCCATCTTCGACTTCCTGATAGGTAGGTCCTGGTGCGCAGGGCACCTGGTGGAAGCTGGCTCCCCTCTTGGCCTGGGACTCTCCTTGACCTTGAGTGCAAAGTCACAGCCTGGCTTATGAGGACAGCCCACACCTCCCATGAGGGCCCTGTTTTGGGGAACCAGAGGCAACTGTTAGGGGTCAACACTTCTAAGGCAAACACCCTCGCCTGTCACAAAGCCTGAGAGAGATGAAAAATCATTCATCTGACAACTAAGGTGTGATGGTGAAAAAAAGTACAGCCAACACATGGCAACGACAAGGACCAGGAGAATGGAGATGTAGGCTTGCAGACCTGAGCGGCAAAGCCCAAGCCAACCTTGGGAGAGGAGCAGTTAAGCAGGCAAAGGTGGCCAGCACACACCTCCACTGCCCTCCACATTCAGTGTCCAAGAGAACCAAGACACACTTCTGCCTGTCAGAATCCCTGACCAGCAGCTGAACGCCTCAGATCACAGACCACTCCATCAGGGTTGGCTGCTTAGCTAACGTCCCCGGGCACCGGCAGCCTGTGCTTAAGGCTCTGACTCGTGTCATGGAACTGCTCTTTCAGCCTGCCTCCCTCCCTCCCCAGAGGGCTCGGGAGGATGGGAGGACCTGCGTGCTGGCCCAGGCTCTCATGCCCTGCCTCACTTCCACAGGCAATATGGATCGCCACCATTATGAGATGTTCACCAAATTCGGGGACGATGGCTTCCTTATTCACCTTGACAATGCCAGAGGGTGAGTGCCGCCCAGCAACCAACACTGTTGGCACCAGCCACGCCCTAAGCAGGGACAGAACTGAGACCCGTGGCCTTCCCGTTTCTGTGTTGCCTCCTTCTTGCCTTTTTGTCCTCATCATCTTTGCTAAGTGCCACCTGACTTCCCGCAAGTGAGACAGGTGGAATCCTTCTGTATGTTTTGGTTCCCCAGCGCACACTTCCAGAGGCTCACAGCTGGCCCCGCGAGGGTGCCGTTCGCCTCTTTGGAAAGGTTCTTATGACCCTACAGAGGCGGGCTGGAGAAGCAGCTGCCACAATCTCTTATTCCCTGGCATTTTCCCCAATCACGGATTCAAAAACAAAAAAGCAGCAACGACAAAGGCCCATGAATGATCCTGCCTGGCACCATGCAGACGCGCGTCTCTCCCCCCAGGTTTGGCCGACACTCCCACGACGAGCTGTCCATCCTTGCGCCTCTCTCCCAGTGCTGCATGTGAGTGTCCAGCGTGCAGGTAACAGGGCAGGGGCAGCTGTGGCCTCCAGCCTGCTTGGCAACCAAGCCTGGACGCCTGCAGGCAGCTTGCACTGGTCTGGATGTGTCTGGTGGTGGTTTGATGGGAAGGAACCTTTTGGTTATGACTCGGCTCTCTGCAGGTGGCATCTACCCTCCTGTGTGACAGATTAGGATGTCATCTTTTAAGCCCTCAATCACTGCCTTTTCTCTTGAAACTACTCAGAACCTCACCCGCTCCTGCAGAGCCAGTCAAGCCCTGGCCTTGTAAGGCACACCTTAGTAAAGCAGACTTCTGCTCTGCCCAGCCTTAATGAGCTCAGCAGTGTGACTGCCTGGTCCTAATTAAAGCCCCAGAAGCCATTCAGATGGCACTAAGGCCTTCGCCCAGCCACTACTCGAGAGGACATGGGCCCTCCTCCTCCCTGTCTTTCCAGCGTCTTGATCAGGGTTATCAAGCTGTCAGCCTGCCCACATGCACTATCCACAGCTAATTATAAACAGGTGCTTCCCACTCAGCAGGACCACTGGGTTTCCTTCCAACAGGAAACTGGAAGGCCAAGTACGGACGGTCTTCACCAACACCTTGAATTCCCTGAGATGGGTCTCCCTCTTCCCTCGCTCCTAAGCTGGATGAGCAGTAGTGCTGTGTGAGACAGAAGCCAGACCACTCAGCTGCTGACATACCTGAAAAGAAACCAGAAGTCTTGTAGTCATGATCGGGGCCACCCTGTTTGCATCCCTGTGATCTGAGCACCTGACACAGAGGATGGTGGTACCCAGGGCTTCTGAGATGGCAGACAGGCTCATCCGCTACCTACCAGAAACGCTTCCTGTCTGCTTGATTATCTTTTTGAAAGACTGGTGTCACTTCATCTTTGATTCCCTTAGCCATGTCAGGGAAAATGCCCAGCACCACCAGATGACACTGTTACAAATGGCCCAGCAGGGAGGGTCCTGCCTAATGACAGCAAAGAACTGCTCAACATTGGATGTCCTCCTTTCCCTCCTTCCTGGCTTCCAGGAGAATGGCCTTGAGAAGCGCGGCATGAGCCTCACGCAGGGAATTCTGGCCTTTACATTTGCTTATTTGGCGCTGCCTTTGTCTTCTCAGGATAAAGAGGAAAACACTTGTGCACCTGCAGCTGCTTGCCCAGGCCGACTACAGACTCAGTGACGTCATGCGAGAGTCGCTGCTAGAAGACCAGCTTGCCCCCATCCTCACAGAACCCCACCTGCTTGCCCTGGACCGCAGACTGCAAACCATACTAAAGACAGTGGAGCAGTGCGTCGAGGCCCATGGAGAGCAGAATGTCATAGCCGACAGCCCAGCCGAACAATCAGCCCGAGACTCTGGCCAGGCGAATTGGACAAGCTAAGGGCTGAAGCCAAACTTGAGAAAATCCACCTGAAGCCAGCGGTGGCCTCCAGGGTGCACTTCCTTGAGGAGGTCTATCTCTTCATGCTGGGACTCAAGTCACAAACTCAGGAAGGAGGTAGGGCATGGTCTGAAACTGCAAGTGGGAGCACTGAACTTGACCTTTGCTCCTTGGTACACTGCTTCCACAGCGACTTCGCCAGGGCTCCACCTTTCCCAGAAATCGTCACTTCATCAAGGGCGCAGGCTGTCTCTCAACTTGGAGATCTGGATACGGGTCAACTGGGAGAGCTCAACTCCCAGGAGAGAGGTTTTAACTGCTTCAAATCAAATAAAAGGACATCACGTGGACACCCGCCTGTCTCCTCCATCTTCCCCCTCCTGACTTGTTATCATTTAAAACTTCCTTCACAGCCTAACACAAATGACGCCTACCTGCTCCTTCAATGGAGTGACTAACCAGCAAAACCGCCCGATTGCATCAGACCAGCTTCTCTTTAATAACCACAGGGAGAAGGGACTAGAAAAAGCTAGATGAGGACAAGAGCTAGAAAAGTCACCCAAGACATCCCCACAGTATTCAGGGAGAAGGCAAGGTGAATCCTCTAAGGACAGGGATCAGGGCCCACTACCGCTTCCAATCCAGCTTCCTGCTGATGCACACCCCGGGAGGACGCCTGGGCAGAGCTCCTGACTCCTGGTTTCAATTTGGCCCATTCTGGGGAACATACATTTTCAAACAAACCAGTATGTTTTTTAAATAAATACGTAATTCTCGCCTAGTCTGCTCCCCCCAGTCCTGGTACACTGCCCTGGAACACAGTGTCTCCGGGATAACCACCACTGACTGTTTACCTGTGCAAGGTGCTTTAGTCATGTTAGACAGGAAGTCAGAAATTTAGCCTGTGTGTGTGAGGGGCTTCAGAGCAAGTTCCTTTAGAAAGGAATCTAATCACCTTGGAAGCATGCTTTAAAAGCATGCCCCAAATTTCAGACTACAAAACCCTGTGCGTACCCCTGGTAACTCGACAGGTGCTCTCAGCCTCCCTCCTTCCCTTAGAAAACCCAGTGTGAAAGTAAACTAGGCATTCCAGCTGAGACTATCTGCAGAGGTGCCCTATTCCATTACACCTTGCTGCTCGGGCCCAGAGCAATAGCTTAGTGGCTCAACCCTTGTCTTGAATGCATCAGGATCCCATATGGGTGCCAGTTCTAATCCCGGCAGCTCCACTTCCCATCCAGCTCCCTGCTTGTGGCCTGGGAAAGCAGTAGAGGATGGCCCAAAGCCTTGGCCCTGCACCCACATGGCAGACCCAGAGGTGGCTCCTGGCTTTGGATTGGCTCAGCTCCAGCCTTGCAGTCATTTGGGGGGTGAACCAGTGGATGAGGCAGATATTCCTGTCTCTCCTCCTTTCTGTAAATCTGCCTTTCTGATAAAAAAAAAAAAATACGTAATTTCTCTTGGGATCACCGTTGTGGCACAGCACGTAAAATAGCTGGCTGTGATGTCAGCACACATTTTCAAAATAAATTATTTTTAAAACTCTACATGAAATTTTTCATGTGACTACTGAGAGCAAACTAAAAAACGGAAGGGAATTGTGCAGTGTGTACACTGGGGGAATATGGTCTGGCAAAGCTTATCAGCCTTCCATAGTGTTAGGAAGTCAATTTCAATTTGAAGACTGAAAAATATCATTAATTCCTTTGCATGTGGTAATTACACATTCTATAGAGTCACAGACACAGTTTTACAGGGAAAAGCAAATCACAACCAGGGCGGTCAACCCAGGACTAGTGACACTGCACTGATTCTACAAGTCATCTCCAGTTAGGAAAAGGAAGTAGAACCTGACGCCATGCTCATGTACAAAGCAGCACACCACGTGTCCAACTCCTCTGCACGTGAGTACAGCCTCCTTGTGTCACTCCCGGGAAACCTGGGGGACAGGCATGCTATCAGAAACAAGGTTTTATTTGTACGACACATAAAAGCATTCCTAAATGTGTATATTGACGATTAACTCACAGCCTCCAACTCTATTTCATGTTAGAGACTATCAGCACGGGACCCTGTGGACGGTGACAGCGGCATCCAGCTGCTCTCTGCGGCGAATGAACCACGGCTCCATTTCCACAAGTTCAACTCACAGAAACTCTCAGTAACAGAGCAAAGAGAAACAGTAGAACAGAGGACAGAGTTCAGAAACAACGCTTGGAGTCCCTGCAGAGGACAATCAGCGGCCAGCGTGAGCCACAGCTCATCACCGTTTCAAGAGCCACCACACCACGGGTCATGATGGAAGAGGCTGGGGTACATGGTGTTACCTAATGACAGACACTGCCTGGTGTAATCTCACCGGCTCCGGGTTCAGATAAGCGCTGCGGGCGGGGAGATCCTGGTGGGCTGCCATTAGGCAACACACTCCTTTGCCCCATTCTCCTATAGGGCACCAAAGCTGATGGCAAGAAGCCCCCATTTTGAAGGTGCCTGGCCCTGCGGGTTTGTGGCAGCCAAGGCATACTCTGCAATGCTGCACGCCATAGGGTAAATCCATCCACACCCCTCCACGATGCCTAGTGGCCTGCAGTGGGCAACGTGCGACAAGCCCTGAGGGGAGAGGCTGTGTGAGCTCCTGAGGCAGAACAGAGGCAGCCAGAGCATAACACCCTGCCGCCTCTGCAGCTGCAGCACACTGTGCGGCTGAAGGGAGCAGCACCTGCTACCGTGGGACTCGTCCACCCCAGACGACTTCAGCAACATATTGTGCCAGTGTCTTCATTCATTTCCAAGAATTGATTTTCCTTTGATTCCTTCTATGACCCACTGTTGATTCTGCAGTGTGCTGTTCAGTCTACATGTCTGTATACTTTCTCGAATTTCTAGAGTTCTTGATTCCCAGCTTCATTACGTGGTGGCTGTAAAGAACACATGGTATGAGATCAGGGATTCTGAAGTTGCTGAGACTTGGCTTGTGGTCTTCGCATGTGAGCATGTGGTGGATCCTAGAGAATGTCCCATCAGCTGAGGAAATGAATGTAGATCCTGCATCTGTGAGGCGAAATGTTCCATAGGTACTTACAGGGCTGACTTGGTCCATGGTTTGTGGTTTCCTTGTGGATCTTCTGTCTGGTTGATCTGTCCTTACATGAGAGTGGAGTGTTGACATCGCCATTATTACAGTTGGGGAGTCTGTCACTTCCATCTGCTAGTTCCACTGGTTCACTCCACAAGTAGTCCAAATGGCTGGAGCTGCGCCAATTCTTAGCCAGGAGCCTGGAGCCTCTTTCGGGTCTCCCATGCAGGTACAGGGTCCAAGGCTTTGGACATCCCTCTACTGCTTTCCCAGGCCATAGCCAGGGAGATGCATGGGAGGTGGAACAGCTGGGACATGAACCGGCACCCATACAGGAATCTGGGAGGTTGCAAGGCCAGGATTTAGCCACTAGGCTACCTAGTGCCAGCCCCCCACCAACTAATTTTTGACAAGAAAACCAAAATCAATCAGGGTTCAGAAAGGGCAGTAGTAGGCCCCGGTTTGTGTTCCAATTGCTCCACTTCCCATCCAGCTCCCTGCTTGAGGTCTTGGAAAGCAGTGTAAAATGGCCTAAAGCCTTGGGGACCCTGCACCCATGTGGGAGACCAAGAAGCTCCTGGCTCTGACCAGCTCAGCTCCAGCCGTTAAGGAGTGAACCAGTGGATACAAGATCTTCAACAACTAGGGCTGGGAATGGATCTACATGTTAACTATAAAATAAGACCCCTATCTCACGTTTTACAAAAATCAGTTATAGGGCCCGGTAGCGTGGCCTAGCGGCTAAAGTCCTCGCCTTGAACACATGGGATCCCATATGGGCGCCGGTTCTAATCCTGGCAGCTCCACTTCCCATCCAGCTCCCTGCCTGTGGCCTGGGAAAGCAGTTAAGGACGGCCCAAAGCTTTGGGACCCTGCACCCATGTGGGATACTTGGAAGAGGTTCCTGGATCCTGGCTCCGGACCGGCATAGCATCGGCCGTTGCGCTCACTTGGGGAGTGAATCATCAGACAGAAGATCTTCCTCTCTGTCTCTCCTCCTCTCTGTATATCTAACTTCCCAATAAATAAATAAATCTTTAAAAACAAACAAGCAAACAAACAAAAAAACCAAAAATCAGTTCTAAATAGATCAAGGATCTAGCCCCACATCCTAACAGCACAAAATGGCTGGAGAATATCGAAGGCGCTCTTCAAGACACAGGCATAGATAGGCAAAGACTTCTTGGAAAAGACCACAGCAGCACAGAAAATCCTAACACAAACAAATGGGATTACATCAAACTAGGAAAGTGCCAACAAGAGGCAGCCAACAGCGTGGGGGACAATACTCACAATCTACACAACTGACAGAAGACTAATATCCAGGATCGTAAAAAAGTGAAGAGACTCAACAACAAAACAGTGAAGATATGGGAAAAGGATATGAAGTTTTTTTCCAAAGGATGAAATTCAAACGGCCAACAGATTTAAGAAAAACACACAGAATCTCTAAATACCAGAGAAATCAAATTAAAGCCACAAGGAGGTTCCATCTCTCCCCAGTCAGAACGGCTATCATGAAAACCAACAACAAATACCAGTGAGGATGTGGCGGAAATGCATTCTAATCCACCGTTGAGTGAGATCGTAAAGCAGTGCAACCATTACGGGAGACAGCATGGAGATCCCACAGACATCTAAAAATATATTCCATAGCAGCCAGGCATCCCAACTCCTAGAAATTCATCCAAACAAAATGAAATCAGCACATCACAGTTTAATTCCTACCCCTATGTTTATAGCAGCTCAATTCATAATAGCAAAGAAATTGAATCAACCCTGTTTTTGCATCGATGGATGACTGGATAAAGAAAATCTGGCACATTTACACTGTGGAATACCACTCAGCCATAAAAATGAATGAGGTCTTGTCTTTCGCAACTAAATGGACACAACTGGAAATCACTATGCTTAGCAAAATAAGTCCAGTAAGACAAACATACTTTTTCCATAATCTGTGATAATACTTTCACTATCCAGCAACGATGGACTTGGTGCACAGAGCCAGTAACACAATAACAACATGTGTGGACTATTGTCAACAGCCAGGTTTATTAACAACCTCAGATTTTTTAGACTGTCCTGTAGGCACAAGGGAGGCGGGATTGAGATATTTACATCTCAACAAAGAGCGAAGTTGACTTGAAACTGCGGGGAACTAGCTGCTGAACCCATCAACTGTTTCCACACCCCTGCCTGGAAGCCTCTGGTTTGTAAACCTAATCCATTGTCCTCCAATCAGCTGTCCTCTTACAACACACACAGCACAAACAATGTAACCTACAGGTACAAGAGTGACGCTAGAATCTGATTCTTGTGGACAACCTTTGCTTATACTCCAGTAACGATAGGTCTCTTGGTTATTTCTTTTCTATTCTTTATTATCATCTTCTAACATGTCCCTTGTTGGTATCATTAACTAACGGAATGTTAAACTTGCACAAAAAATACACACAACCCTTTTTTTAAAAAAAAGGTACACTTAATCAAATATGCTGTTAATTAAATACCAGTAGATTAAATTCTCCAGTAATAAGACAAAAATTATAGACTAAGATATTAATCAAAGCTTGATTGCCAACTGCTTACAAAACTATGAATATTATGCTTGGTGAGGCCAATAAAAGCTTATTTTGCCCCAACTTTGTCATTTTTGATGCTATCTTACAAACTTAATTTTCTAATAAAATTTACTACTCAGCGTATCTACTTAGCGTATCTAAAAATAAAACCGGATTTCATCTTTCAGTTTTCATTTGTATCTTTCCCCCCACGACTCAGCAGATAACTCTGCTACATGATCCATTTCTTCATCAACTGAACTGACAGCAACGTACAACGCCAAGTACTCTTTCAAAGCACTGATCCTGGACTTCACTTCATTCTCACCATTATGAGAACCTCTAGAGGGAAGAGGTGATGAAAAGGAGATTAGGAAGAAAAACTGATTCATTCAAGAATTTAAACCATTTAATCTTTTTATTATGTGACCTACCATTAGGAAATCTATAACAGAAGAGCTTATTAGCACACAGTATAGTCAGACTGGTAACCAGGAAACATTACAAAATGGTCCTTTGGCCATCGATACTTTCCAGAGCAGGAGATCTTGTAATTCACTCACCAAGCCCAGAACAATGACTTCTAAAACCCTGAATACCAAAGTATGCCAACAGGGAGGTCTCACACAGACTTCGACTGCACAAAGATAAAGCTTTAAATGTGATCATTTTCAAATTTAGACTTATCTTTAAACGTCTTAGCTTAAAACTACAAAAAGGAGTAAACAGCAAGCCAAATGATTTCAGAGTTAAACTCATTTAGAAAGCAGTATAAGTATCTAAATATACATGGGCATGATTCTATACATATATGAAACTGTGCAATTATATGGCATTCTAAATAATTCATTTAAGTACATTTTTGGCATTTAAACAAATATCAAATTGAGCTTTAAGTGAATAAGAACAGAACTTGATTTTAATTTTCAAATATAAAAAGACAGCTAAACACAAAGTACAAATCAGAAAATCCCCAATGTAGATTACCTTAGAAATTAAAAATTCTGTAACACAGTGGCTTTCTATCTCAAACTGAAATCTAAATAAAACCTTTTTCCCAGATTTTACTCTGCACTTAGTAGCACTCTAAAAGCTTTCCGACTCTACGGGGAAAAAAAAAATAAAAACTGACCAATTCACACCACCTAGGAGAGAGTGGGGGAGGGGTTACTAACCAGAGCAAGTTTGCAGTCTTCCCTAATGTAACCCTTTAAATTCTACATAAAGCTCAAGGAAAACAAAGTGCCTATTATTTATGGAGCTGCTAAACTTTTGTTTCAAAAAATAACAATAACAAAAAATACAGTGTTAAGTATCATTGGAATAATGTAACACATAAGGCTGAAAAATACTGAAACACAGTTAAGACTCAAAACTCTAGTTTAAAAAAGGAAAAAAAAAAAAGGAATCAACCAGACAGGTCAACCTCAGACTCTGCCAGCAGGACGGCCCTGAAGACCAACATGACGCGGCAGACACACTTCTACCACACCCCAGCGCACCAGAAATTCTGACACAGAGAGAAGAGGTTAGAACAAGTCAAAAATTCTATCCAAATTTTGTGGCCCAGAAAACTGAATGGGAGAAAGTTCCTGACACTGAACTTTGTCACCTGGCTTCTCCCGTTAGCAACATCACCTCCATCTTTTTCAGGATGTTTGTTCACCTGTTTCTACTTTGAACCAATTCCATCTCCTGGAATCAGAATTTAACTAAACACGCAAGGGAGTGAATTGAAGGCCATAATTTAACAAGAAGCTCTAAGCTAAAAAACCCAGGTGTAGACCTCAAGTCCCTACTCCCAACTCAGCATCTGATAATCAGCATTTGGCACCAGCTAGGTAAATCAGCGTCTGATCAGAATTTCTGAGTGAGGCAGCCGTAGTTAAGTCACAGCCTTGCATCAGCAGTCGATGATTTGGTGTGCTTTCTGGAAGGCAGGCATACACAGCCACACTGAAAAAGCTTTCCGAACTGGAAACACTAACAACAAGGTAAAACCAAACCAGGCAATGACTGGCTAACAGGAAGCCTGACCGATCACGCCCATCTCATAACTAGCCAGATGGGCATTTCTCCGTCCCTAAGCTACTTTACCTTCAATCAAACCTCTTTTCTACTAGACTAAGATTTTTCTATAACCATTTTTCTTAATCCTCAGCATTTAATGAGAAATCATTTATTCTATAAAGAAATACAGCACATATGGCCACAGTCTAAGTATGCTTACAACTGGAAAATTATGTCACTTAACAAAAAAAAAAAAAAAATCTTGCACTGTGACGTCATTACTCTAAGATAATTCAATTGGTGCTGGGATCTCCCCTCACCAAAAAAGCATGGCACTCACGGCCCAGGTTGGATATTACTAACATTGCACAGAGAAGCAGGAACAGCAAAATCTCCAAGAGAAGTCTTTCTATTTATTTGTGTCTGAGCATTCAGGTAATGCCCCAAATTAAAAATGGTGCGGTAACAGCAACTTTAATATAAAGAGACAAGAAGCTGCAATGCCAGTGGCCACTTGGCGCTGCCAACAGGGAGAAAGCAGTCTGCAAGAGGAAGCTCAGCTTGGGGAGAAGGGGAGGGACAGGAGGCAAATCTCAGACAGACAGTGACACAAAACTGTTGTACTGCTGGATGTTTCGCTTGAGGATATCTGAGCACGGGCCAAGAACACGTTCAAACCTCGGTCGGTCCAGCTTCACACACTTCAAGGGCCCGCGGGCGACCACGGTGGCAGCGCGAGGACGATTCATGAGAAGTGCGATTTCACCTGGGGAAGGGAGAAGGGACAGGGCCATCAGGAGCTGGTCGGAGGCCACAGGGGGCACAGCTGGGGCCACAGGGACCAAGACTTGGGAACACAGAGGCCACAGCTCAGAGAGGGCCACGAAGCCAGAAGGATACCAACTAGGTGTATCTCTGGTAACACAGGCCACACCACTCCCGCAGTAAACACAAAACCAACTAATCCATTAAGATATATGAAAATTAATAACAAACTGAGTAGGGGGCCAAAACTGGACTTAGCTCTGAAAGCCAAAATGGCTATAATTAAAACAAAATTTTGGGGGGAAAGACAAACTTATCAAAGACAGTAGTTATCTCAGTGAGAAGTGACTTAAAGAAATTTATGTATTTGGGCCCGGCACAGTAGCCTAGTGGCTGAAGTCCTGGCCTTGCATGTGCCTAGGATCCCATATGGATGCCAGTTTATATCCCAGCAGCTCCACTTCCCATCCAGCTCCCTGCTTGTGGCCTGGGAAAGCAGTCGAGGAAGGGCCCAAAGCCTTGGGACCCTGCACCCACCCATGTGGGAGACCCAGAAGAAGCTCCAGGCTCCAAGTTTCAGCTCCAGCTGCTGCGATCACTTGGGGAGTGAACCAGCGGAGGGGGAAGGTCTTCCTGTCTCTCCCCCTCTATAAACCTGACTTTCCGATAAAATAAATCTTTTCAAAAATTATATATTTATTGTGAGAAAATTCACACATACCAAAATAGTCAGAAGGCCCCAATCTTCCCACTTCAACAAATTCTTCATTTTCTGAGCGGCGCTGTAGCACGGCAGCTGACCCCTAAAAAACACCACCAAAAAAGCTGACCAAGCGGGCACTTCCAAACCCAGGGTGGCAATTTAAATATCCTGTGCAGTTCAGTTACTCTCAACAATGAGGCCGGGTTCAGTGGCTATCTCAATTCGCCCGTGTCCCTAGATAAAGGATGACTGGATACAGTCCCTACAGCAGCCCTGACCGGGACTGAACAAGCATTGCGCCGCACACACAGTCTGCACCAAGCTGGGGCTCACGAGGCCCGACGCAGACTAGCAAGCTGACTGCCTGTTCCATAAACAACATTTTTGAGGACTACTGCACCCACTCGTTTACCTGCTGTCCCCCGGCCCCTCTGCAAGAGAGACGGCAGAGCCACAAAGGCTAATTTATTTTCCACTTTAAGGGACTTCCAATCTCTGAAGTTAAAGTCAGTCGGCAATGAGAAAGTCACATCCACAGGAATCTAGCACTCAGATCTACGTGGCAGGCCAGAGGAGCTGCTGTGCGGTCCCAAGGCTTGCGGGGATAAAACACGTGACTTTCAGAATTGAAGCCATAGCTTCCACCAGGTATGCACATCTAGAATTCTGATTCAACTCATTTAAAAGGTAGAGGTCTAGCAGAAAACCTAATGCATTTCAAAGTAAAAGATTCAATTTTAAAATAAAACTTCAGATAAACTTTAAGACTAAAACTACACATCAGAATTAGCCCTCTTCTCCCCTCTAATGTACAATTTTTAAAGGAATTAAATGCAGAGTCGTTACTTCTAAGATAATGAAGAACTCATCTCCTGGTTCTCCCTGCACTACAATCTTCTCCCCATCTTCAAACTGCACAGGCTCCAGGGCATCAGCGACAGTGAGGCGTTCCCACTTGTCCAGGGATTCTGCAAGACAACAGTCAGGAGAATGACTCTACTGCTCAGTGCTAACAACGTCACAACCAAAACCATGAAGGGATTCATGCTAACGGCCACGCTCATGGACACTGCACACGTGTCTGACGCAGCATGGCACGTGTCTTCTACTAATTCTAGTCTCAGCAGCACCCTCCGGGGACCTGCACACAGCCCTTACACCCTCACCCCACTGCTCCACCAGCCAGCTTAACAATTGTACCCAGTGGCAAAAATGGCCCATGCAATCAAGCCTACAAGTAACAGATCACTGCCTGTCTATTCCACAGATTACAGAAGGAACTTACCTGTTTAAATCCTTTATTTTTGGAACTACATAAAGCTAGAAAATTACTTTTACTAGCAAAGGCCAAATCAACTCATTATAACAAAGCAATGGCAGAAGACTGTTACCTTACAAGCCATCATTGCTGCTTCTCAAGCACAGGTTCAATCAATCCCAGTGTTTAGTAACAGGGTCACAGACTAGATCCCATGAATCTGCCTTTTACTGGGAATTTCAGCACAGGGGTCACTTGTTCAAAGGAAGCTTGTGGATCCTTTCCAGATTCAGGATGCACAACCATAAAACATCAAGGACAGTCACCCAGAGAACAACCATGAACATCTGGTCAGGAAGGATTCCTGCAGCCTTTCCTTCTCTCCAGGAGGAATGGAAAGCACCTACACTCTCAAAAAGCCTTTCCCCAAACCAATCATTTCTAGTTTGAGCTATGTCATATTCTAGCAAAGCTAACATTCTCAACTGTTCTTAGGTGTTGGCGCCGTGGTATGGTAGCTTCAGCCTCACTCAGCCTGCAGTGCTGGCCTTCATATGGGCACTGGCTGCTCCACTTCCCACCCAGCTTCTTGCTAATGTGCCTGGAAAAGCAGCAGTGGATGGCCCAAGTGCTCGGACTCTGCACCTAAAAGGGAGACCTGGAGGAAGCTCCAGACCCCTGGCTTCAGACCGGCCCGCTTCGGCTGCTGAAGCCATTTAGGGAGTGAACAAGCAGGTGGGAAGACGACGCTCCTTCTCTGTAAACCTGCCTTCCAAATCACCATAAATTATTCTCATAAAATTATTTTAAGTTAAAAATGTCCTAATGCTGTCAAATAAAAATTCTATTAGTTTTTCAGCACTGTGAATAAACAAAAACATAACTAAAACATGAGTAACTAGAATTTCTAAAAAATACACAGGTTCTCACTGTTAACATATCGATGTAAAAATTTTGCATTTAATTTTCCAAAACTCACCTAAAATGGATACTTTGCTAAGGAACTCTTCATACATCTTCCGCTTTCTCAGTGTACTTCCCTGTAAGTGACAGATAACACAACTCATAGCTCCAAAACGTGCAGTGCCAGGTAATGCCGCAGAGTAATCCAACCAAGTTTCAAATCTATTTAAAAGTAGACAAGCCGAAGCTTGCTGCTGCTTCCTCATTTCCGACCACTTGTCTTCTTGCTGAAGACAGCGAGGTCAGCTCTGTGAAAGCTCTTAGCCCCCTGGCCTGCAGCATGCAACCGGTGTATCACCAAAGTGACGTTATACGAGTTATCAAACAAGCAAATGACCAGGTCTCCAAAATAGCACCAAGCAGTAAACGTGACTGCAGCTAGAATCCTCCCCTGCAGCACCAATCCCCATCAGCAAAAAGAAAACTACAGCTGCCATACAACCCCCTCCCCAATAAGCGCCGCAGGGCCCCAAACCTAGCTAGGCTGTCTTATCCACAAACCGTTAAATGCACCCGGGAGGAAACCAACAAGGACAAGCCCTTCTCTCGGAACCACTTTCCCTTGCTTGGCCAACTGCCTCAGCACCCAACACCCCTTCCAACAAATCATACACACCCACATGTGTAAACACGTATGCCAACACCACTGGGCTTCCCTATGTGCAGGCCCCACATCTGTGGTTCAAAAATAGTAAGACATTTTTTAAATCTTCTAACATGCTTTTTGTCATTATTCCCTCCACACTACAACGCAACTACCCCCATGTTCTTCACATTGAATGCGTGTAAGCATCCCTGCACCTACACTGAGGCAGGAGATGCTGTGGAATCTACAGGAGGATGCAGCTGACAAGCAAATGCTGCAGCGCTCTATGTGGGACTTGATACCTGAAGACTGTGGTATCTGACAGCAGGGTGTAGGGACGAGACTTAGAACCAGTTCCTCGTGCAGCCCAGAGGATGACTAGGCATACGGGAAACTTCAAAAATTCATGGAACAACAATTAAAAAGTGCAAAAAATTCTGAAATCTATGCAGCTTTACCAAAACAACATTTTCCGTGAATTTTAAAGACCTCCATCCATTTACCCACACATTCTTCAAATTTGTTTATATTTGGGATAGATGTACAGAAGACTTCAAAATGTACATACATGCACTCACGCATTCATTTCAAATACAAAAGAAAAAAGCAAAAAGGGCACCCAAACTGTCCTTTCAAATGGCCACTGCATAAATTCAAGGAAACTCTCCAAAGTGCCCAACATCATTAGATGGGACTTAAATATCCACAAATTAAATTAAGAGCAACATTTCAATTGTTTCATTCTTTTGCTTCTTCATCTACCAAGAGGCCACATGCCATGCTGCCAATCCATCTTCAGAGTTGAGGCCATCTGCCACTTCAAAGGCCTGACTTTCTACACTTCAAGGCTATCCTCATGGGTAAAGTTAGGAAAGATGTGTCTATTAGCTTCTAAACATGAACGGATCTCTACATGTATACATTTGGTTTCCCATGTTATTTCTAGCCAAAATATAACTGTCTAAAATGACACAATGAATAATGCTAACCTGAACTTAATGCAAAATATTCCATCATCAAAAGCAAGAAATGCGGACTAGTAGGTCAAGCCTCCTCCTGTAATGTCAGCATACGATATGGGCACCAGTTCAGGAATCCTGGCTGCACCACTTCAATCAAGCTCCCTACTAACGCGCCTGGGAATGCAAAGATGGCCCAAGACCTCTGCACCCACGTGGGAAACCCAGAAGAAACTGCTGGCCGCCAGCTTCAGACCAGCCCAGCTCTGGCTACTGTGGTCATTTGGGGGAATGGGAGATCTCTATCTCTCTCTAAAATCTTTCAAATGAGAATAAATAAATCTTTTAATTAAAAAAGCAAAGAATATTCTCATTTTCATTTAGTGACAGTCAAATATTAGTTCCACAGAGCAGAACGGATCTTACCATCAGGATCCTCCTATAGCTGTCCCGGTCAATACCCCACAGCTTCACGTTAGTCTTGGCTTTGACAGTGGCTGCTCTGGGTGTCCCATAAATCAGAGCAAGTTCCCCAAAGCTCCCTCCTTCCCCAACACTGGTCGCCCATTCGTTGTTGACATAGACCTAAAAGCAAATGACTGCTATCAGCAAAATGCTTTTATTCCACATATATAAACATTCAAGAATCAAAAATCCTTAAATCTTTTTAAAAGGGTCAGAATCCTAAACTTTGCTTTTAAAATGCAATACACACACACACAAAATGTTCTTGGTACACAGCAGGGCAAAACAGCTGACTTCTGAGTTGAGTTAGGTGAAGGAAGAATGCCTATGGTCTACCTGGTCTAATTATCACTAGATAAGGTGACAAGTAACATAATACTAATACTACATATGCAAAAATACTGTGCTACAGAGCCTGGCACTATGGCCTAGAGGCTAAAGTTCTCTCCTTGCATGCACCAGGATCCCATATGGGTGCCGGTTCTACTCCCAGCAGCCCCACCTCCTATCCAGCTCCCTGCTCATGGCCTGGGAGAGCAATCAAGGACAGCCCAAAGCCTTGGGACCCTGCACCCACATGCGAGACCCAGGAAAGGCTCTGGGCTCCTGGCTTCAGATCAGCTCAGCTCCAGCCATTGTGGCCTCTTGGGGAGTCAATCAACGGACGGAAGATTTTCCTCTCTGTCTCTCCTCTTCTCTGTATATCAACTTTCCAATAAAAATTAATCTTCAAAAACAATTCTATGCTTTGTGCTCTGTGCTATACATTTTATTATTATTTAAGATTATCTATGTATTTTTGCCACTATTAAATCTTACATCCATCTCTCCTTGATCAATCACATAGAAGTTATCGCCTTCATCACCTAAAGGAAAGTAAAAAAATGTTAGAAACATATTTCAAATGGAACCAAGTCAAATCCTCAAATCAGTATAAACTAACACTCATTTTATATTACTGTTGTGAGAACAGTGCTATAAACTTGCACGAACTTCCCAGAAAACAAAATATATTTTAGAAGCCAGAAAAAAAAACCGATCAATTTTTTAGGCAGCTCAGTGAAGAATATCTCTAAAAAGAAAAAAAACAGGGGTTGGTTCTGTGACCCAAGCAGGTCAGCTACCATTCCCAATACCGCCATCTCAACTCAGATGCCAACTGCTTTTGAGTCCTGGCTGCTTCGCTGCCCATCCTCCCTACTTTGACCTGGGAAAGCAGCGAAGCACAGCCCAAGTCTGGGGGACCCTGCACCCCCATGTGAGATGTGGCTCCTGGATCCAGATCAGCTCAGCTCTGGCCATAATGGCCATTTGGTCAGTAAACTAGCAGATGGGAGATCTTTCCGACTCTCCTTTTCTCTATAAATGTGTCTTTCAAAGTAAGTAAATCTTAAAAAAAGCTTTACACTGTACACAAAGTTACTAACTGCTATGGCCTCTGTAACACTAGAAAAGGTTTAACAGTAAAACAGAGTATCACAAAATTACAAAACATACTGTTTATATATAAGACCCATGGAGATGTCAAGAATAAGAATAAAAGAGGACTGATATCCAAAAGATCAAACCCATGTAAGTGTCTGTATACAGAAAGGTCAGACCTCACAGAAGCCAGAACTTGACACACGGGCTGCGTGCTGAGCAATGCAGCTATCTGGTTCACCCTCAGTGATATTAACAAAAGGAAACCGTTACGCTCAAAGAGGCCAAGACTTCGAAACAATAAAACCAGAGAAAGCTCCCAGGAGACCTTGCTCTCCGGTAACCACACTGCTTGCCCGTACCTTGCTGGATGACAGTCTCTCCAGCAATAAAGGAGACTGGAAACATGGCATCAAAAATATCACTGCAAGACAAGACAAAAATCATTAAGAGCCTTCAAATTCACAATGGGGCTGGCCCTGTGGCGTAACAGGTCAAGCCACTCCCCAAGACAATGATTCAAGTCCAGCTGTTCCACTTCCTCTCCAGGTCCCCGATACTGGCCACGGAAAGCAGCAGCCACGGCCCAGGAAGGGGACTCAGCTCCTGGCCCAACACCAGCTGTTGCAGCCACTGGGGGAGTACGCCACCAGATGAGAGCTCAAGCTTCCCACTTCTCTGTAATTCTGCCTTTCAACTAACAAGGGGAAGAAAAGGCAACGGTGCAAGCGGCGGGACCACAGCCTTACTAGAAAGAATCTGTACCTACCTTCTCTCATTATCATCAAGATGTGAGAAGAGCACATTCTTTTCAATGGCTTTGGCTAAGGCAGCCATCGTCTTATAATCTTTTGGTATAACCTAGAAAAGAACTGAAGGTCAAATGGCAATTCTGTAAACCAAAAACATTTCATGTTTACACCAAGAACCTGTATTTCCATTAAATGCCAAGTCACATTATTCTATTTAAACAGATCTGCTTTGACTAAATATTTTCACTGTAACACACTTATAATATCCTTTGATCTGCAAAGGTCCATTAAATATTGACTAATGAATCTCCGCACCTTCAGTCAAGCCTAAATTTAAAGACGGATAACTGGCGGGCCAAGCGCAGTAGCCTAGCAGCTGAAGTCCCCACCATGCATGCACCAGGATCCCATATGGGTGCCAGTTCTAATCCTGGCAGCCCCACTTCCCAGCCAGCTCCATGGGAAAGCAATCAAGGACAGCCCAAAGCCTTGGGACCCTGCACCCACGTGGGAGACCCAGGAAAGGCTCTGGGCTCCTGGCGCAGCTCTGGCTGTTGTGGCCACATGGGGAGTCAATCAACAGGTAGAAGATCTTCCTCTCTATCTCTCCTCCTCTCTGTATATTTGATTTTCCAATAAAAATAAATCAATCTTTAAACAAAAAAAAGAATGGTAGCTAGTTCCCAATTCACAACTAGAAACAAAAAACACTTTGACCAGGTCATTATTTTACTGCAAAACTAAGCATTTTGAACCAGTGAGTGCTTTTTGAGACCATGGTAGCTCTCAGTGCCAGGATGATGGAGTTTTCCCTTAAGGCTCCTAACGCTAAGTCTAACACAGAGCGGACTGCGGAAAACCAAGGCACCAGAACACAGGACAAAGGCCTAAAAGCCACAACGGGGTAGTTGGAAAGGGGCTCTGCCTGCAGCTGCCACAGGGCAGACGTGCAGTTGAGCCTGGTGACGACCTCTGACAACAGCTCCAGGACCGAGACCAGCCTGCTCTGTGGGTCACGTTCAGAGGTGCCCACAGTCACCCACCGACAGACGACTCCCGCGGTACACAGCATCCCCCCCAGTTCAGACATCAGCTACCTTTCTGACGTAAGACGCCGCGTCCTCCTCCGTGTAGACTTCGGCGCTGATGGCCCCTCGCCGCCGCCGCCCCTTCACCACGGGGTTCGGGGGAGGAGGAGAGATCTCATCCTCCCTGGAGTCGGTGCGGGTGCCAGCTTTCTGCAGATTCTGAATCTGCTTGGCCTCCTCCTACAAGAAATCACGGCAAGTCAGTACTCTCACGTTCCGATGAGTCTATCTCAGTCTTACCAAACTCTTCCATTTTCAATGTACATCAGGGGAAAAACAAAAATCCAAATGAGGAGGAAAAAAGTAAAGTTTGGAAAGGAACACTCTCAGATGACAGCTCATCTACCCTTCATCAACGAGCCAAAGCCATTAAAACACGACGTGGCCACCGGCCCGACAGGAGCGAAGCCCCAGGAAGAAGGCTTTCCATGTGCTAGTGCAGAAAGCAGGACCCCGCGGGACACAGGGATAACGCAGGCAGGGCAAGGAGAGCAAGGATGCGTGTTACGTCACTAACTCAGCTCCTGTGGCTGTGGGATTCACATTCTAGCCCAGGCCTCAGACACAAATACTAAACAAGAAATTCACAGCATTTAAGTAAAAGCAGATCTAATAACTGGCACACCCAGAAAATTTGTTTAATATCAGGGTTTATTCTTACACAAAACAATCAAGTTTGTTTTTTAAACTACTTCTTGGGGGCTGGTGCTGTGGCATAGTGGGTAAAGTGCCAATAGCACCAACATCCCCTATGCACAACAACTCAAGCATCAGCTGCTCCATTTCCAATCAAGCTCCACGCTCCTACCCGGGGGACCAGCGGAGGCGGGCCCAAGCCCTCAGCCCCTGCACCCACCTGGGCTCCGGGCTCCTGATCAGGCCAAGCATTGTGGCAGTAAACCAAAAGATGAAAGACCAATCTCTCTCTCCCCTTCTAACTCTACCTTCCAAAGAAATAAGTAAATGTTAAAAAAAAAAAAAAAAAAAGAAAGAAAGAAAGAAAGCAAAAAAAAAAAGCTGCTTCCTGAGGCCAGCTGTGGTGCAGCAAGCTGAGCTGCTCCGTGCAAAGCTAACTTACCATGTCAGCTCAGGTTCAAGTCCTGGACACCGCAGCTCTGATACAGTTCCCTGCTCATGTGCCAGGGAAAGTGGCTGAAGATGGCCCAAATTCTTGAGCCCCTGCCAGGCACGGGAGAGCGGTAGAGGAAGTTCTGGGCTCCTGGCTTCAGCCCAGCTCAGCCCAATCAAAGTGACCAGTTGAGGAGCAAAATATCCCAACCCTGGCTCGCCCTCTTTCTCTGTAACTTTCAAATAAAGAAATCTTTATAAAAAGAAAAAAAGAGGGCCAGGTGTGGTGGCCTAGTGGCTAAAGCCCTCTCCTTGAACCCACTGGATCTCACATGAGTGCCGGTTCTAATCCCAGCAGCCCCACTTCACATTCAGCTCCCTGCTGTGGCCTGGGAAAGCAGTCTAAGGATGGCACAAAGCCTTGGATTCCTGCACCCACATGGGACACCTAGAAGCTCCTGGCTTTGGATCGGCGCAGCATCAGTCATTGTGGTCACTTGGGGAGTGAATCATTGGATGGAAGATCTTCCTCTCTGTCTCACCTCCTCTCTATCTGACTTTGCAATAAAAATAAATTTTTTTTAAAAAAAGAAACTACTTCTTTTTGAACCAGTTCATATTGAAAAAGAACTTTTTTAAAATCTAGGATCTTGAAATTCTCAGGCCTAAAAAGACTTCTTACGCTAGAAATAAAAACAGAAATATAAGAATGTGTCACCTTTTGCTTTCACTAACTTGACCCTTCTCCACTAGTTTTCTAATCCATTTTTCAAATTCATTCAGCATTAAATGATTTTAGGAAACATTTTGAAAAGAAAAATGTGTTAAAAGCAATTAAATTGATCCTGCTTTTGGCATGAGGATCAATACAATAACGTGTGACCTTTCGTCTCGCACGTTGACCGCGAAGGTGCTGACAGCATCCACGCCCAGCAGGACACCCACGCTTCAGCTCCACGGCCTTTTCTTCATCTAGCAAGGGGTTACTGCTCTCATTTTTCTGCATTTTCTAATTTTTACTTTGTAACAGAGGGAAACAAAAAATAACATGAATATTTTTATATAGATTTTATTACAAATATTTATTTAACCCAGTAAACTAGTACCATTTCTAAGAATTTACTCTACCACCTGCACAGGAGTGAAACACCACCTCTGCTGTACCACTGATTTCAGCCAAACGCTGGGGACAGTGAAGCCAAGCGGCATCCTCCCGTCCTGGGGGCGGGGGGAGCCTCCGTCCTCCAGGCAGCACGCCCACGCCGTCCACTGACGCCCACCTGCGGCCTCTGGGGCACCAACTGCACTGCCGGGAAGGAGATCTTTTACTGCTCTTCTTTTATTATCATATTTTCAGCCATGTGTAATTATTTTTTAAAAACACGGTTTTCAGAAAACTCACTTCATTTTCTCTCTGGCAGTTCCAATAACCAATAAGGTTTTCTCTATATTAACACATAATTTTAAAACTCAAGTCTTCCCTATGCTTCAAGATTGAACATAAATGAAAACCCATCCCTGACTTCCAAAGTTTATCACTGTTATGAAATTGTGTAATTTGGTATTCTGCAAAATTTTCCAGATAATTCTGAAAGTAAACAAAAGCATTCTGACATCGCCTTATGGATGCAAACAGGTCCTTTCAAACAGCAATGTTCCTATGTGAAGGGAACCTAACCCCATGACTCAGAGCCAGTTCTGAAATCACCTGTTTTCTAACACTGTGCTGGGCACTTCCCACTTCAGCTCTGCTGCATCTGAAAATCTCCACACTCCTCGGCTACTTCCAGGGCAACCGTGTTCTCAGATTCTGACCCCAGCACTTATGTCCTCAACGTCTCCAATCGTTTGGTCCCTCTCTGCCCTTGCCATTCTTCCCTGCAGGGAAGATCAACTGCCCACCGCCCTCTGACCTGAGGCCTGGCAGGACGCCTGGCCACAGACCATCCAGCGTCAGATGCATCACATCAGAGCAGGCCATTCCTGTCTTTGACTTTCTGTTCTCTCTGCCTGAAGACAGCACTGCTCACTTACAAGTTAGCTGCTAAAGCTCAGACCAGAACCAGATGCATGGATACAAAAAGACAAGTCAGACTAAGCCCAAAAAAGCTGGCAATGGCCAAGATAGACGGTCTTTTGCAACAAGCCACTGACATTTGAGAGTTACAAGTTACTGAAGCGGAGGCTAACCCAGTACACTATGGTCCAGGGTAGTTTCTCTTAGCTTTACTGCTACGTCTGTGAACGGGGATAAATCACCCACCTCAGACATCCGAAATAAGGAGTATGTGCGTAAGCAAGGCGTGTGACATGGACCTGCACAAAGGTCATCATTCATGATCTACCACAGTCAAAGCGCTAAAACACAGACTCCAACGTCACATGATGGGCTCAACTAAAATTACAAAATCTTCAACAGGCCAACCACGAGTTTTGGGGTCCATTATACTTACAGAACGGTCTGAGTCTCACAAACAGAGTCCCTTAGCTGAGGCATAAGAACCTGACTGCGTTATTTTCAGACACACAAATTACCATCTGATACATAAAACAATGACCTGCTCAAAGCCCTGGTACTCCCGTTCAAGCCCAGCTGAAGGTCTGCAGGGAAGTAAACGCAGACCCTGGATTACAGGGAGAGGCGTGCCACACTGTCCTAACAGGCAACGAGCTTAACACACACGGACTGTAAAAACACCTGCAAAGCATTGACTTCGAGAATTACTGCTTTTCACTCACGTCAGGCTTTTAAAGCAGTGCTGTGGTTAAACACTGATTTTGAAAGTAGTACCACACATTCAACACTCCCTAAAAAAGGATGCACGCCTAATGTCTCACCAACTTAATCCGCTCATTTGACAGGTCTCTATTGATGTCCAAAGACAACGGATCACCTTACAGTGACCCATTTCAAAACTAGACCTCCAGGAACACACTTGATTTCAAAACAGAGAACACCCATGGCCTGCCTCCAGGGCACTTCATTTGAAAACTGCTGAAACCAGACAACACCACAATTTCTGCAACAATTTAAAAATAGCAAGGCTGTTCATAAGGACTAATTTTTCCTTTTTTTAAAATTCTAATTACGGGACCCGGTGCAACAGCCTAGTGGCTAAAGTCCTTGCTTTACATGCGCTGGGCAGCCTATATGAGCACCAGTTCATGTCCCAGCTGCTCTCCACTTCCCATCCAGCTCCCTGCTTATGGCCTGGGAAAACAGCAGAGGACAACCCAAGGCTTTGGGACCTTGCACCCATGTGGGAAACCCAGAAGAAGCTCCTGGCTCCTGGCTTCAGGTTGGCTCAGTTCTGGCCATTGTGGCCATCTGAGGATAGAACAAGCAGACGAAAGATCTCATCTGTCTGTCCTTCTCTCTGTAAATCTGCATTTTCCAATAAAAAAAATGTTAAAAAAAGAAATTCTAACTATGGCACCATTAAATATCAAATTTAATAAATAATCGCTATGATTTAAACATCTGCCCTCCAAAATTCATATAGGAGTCTGATACCCAGAGTTTTATGCTAACAGTTATCAAGGGGCTTTGGCAAGTGGTTAGGTGAACGCAAGTCCTTAGTGTAGAACCTCCTGGTTGAATCCTGCGGCTTCACGAGTGGGAAAGAGCACACCGGGCAGCGACCACGTCTCCTGCCACATGACATCTGTACTGCAGGACAAGGCTCCCAGACCTCGTGCCTCCAGAATCACGAGCCAACAAAGCCCTTTCCAAGCAACCTGCCTCAGGTACGCTGTTAGAGCCGGGAAGAGACGACACAGTGTTTCAAGAACACCCCAATAATGCAGATATTTCTATAATACAATTAGGTATTTCATGACCGTATTCCAAATATATCAAATGGTTCGAATTATGAACTACCTTAAAACTTTAATTTGTACAAGAAAACCTATAAATTTATCCCACTGATTTACAGAAGGAAATCAAACAACTCCAGACATTCAGTGATGCAGACTGCGTAATGGACCATTTCCTGAGACAAACAGATGACAGCCCTGCCCTCGGTGCGGGTACCGCTGGGCTGCGGAGGGCACGGCAAGCCGGCGGCCATTCCAGGAAGACGGCAAGGGCTCCGGGGGGACAGACACGTCCTGACCAAATGCAACCAGAGGGAGATGCTGACACAACGACAGGATCTCTACAGTTAGCCCATGAAAAGTACAGAATTTCTAGTGTTACCAGCCTCAAACTACAGTCCAATGCTGCATTTAAAAGACTGACTTTAAAAGATCACAAATTTTATTAAGCTTTTTTGCTTTGTTGAAGAAAAGCACAAACTGCCTTTTTACCTTCTGACTGTTGTAATATTTCTGACTGCTGGAGTCAGTTTCATGTACCAATCGAAACAGCTTTGGAAGCCTTTTGTTAGCCAAAGGAAACCATTAATGTTCTGATAAACCCTACAGGTCGCAAATTTTCAAACTGCTACAAACACCTTAACATTTCCTCTTTGAATTTCTGTTTCGGACTTCTTATTTGGCCAAAATTCCTTTTGCTCTGAAATACCCGAGTCACAGCATCTCCCGGCAGCTCTGCCTCGCCCCACAGCGTGGCTGTCTGCTTACCTTCTCCAGCCTCTCGAAGTACTCCCTGAGGAAGGCCATGGGCCTCTCGGGCCGGGCCGTGCACAGCTGCACGATCGAGTCCTTGAGCAGGGCCTGGATGTTGTGCTTCTGCACGTAGAGCTCACACTCGCGGAGGCTGCGCTCCTCCTCGCTGGCGGCAGTGCTCCCAGACGCCATGATGCTCTGCGGGGAAACGCACACACGCTGACGCCCGCCATTTATCAAGCACAGAGGCCCGCCTGCCCGCTGGGTTACCACAGGAATCAGCAACTGGGTCATGGGCACTGTGCTGTTGTAACGGGGGAGGTGGGAAGTCAGGAGTCAAGTATGTATAGAATTTGCATCCTTCCAAATGACTGCTCCCTCTAGCTCCTGCCACAGGCAACAGGTGGCGGTCCCACACTCGGCTCCTGCAGGAAGTAGGAGCCAGGAGCCCCGCAGAGGCAGGCTGTGGGGAGTCTGGTCCCTCGGGAGTTCCACTCAGTCCTCATGACCTGGGAAGTGTGTAAACGGTAAACAGGACAGAGCAAGGGCACTAAAGGCAACTCTGAGGGCAGGAAGGGAGGGAGCCGGGGGACAGCACCTGGAGGGCGCCAACTCCAGAGCCAGGGCAGCGTCCTGGACGAGAGGGGACACTGCCAGTGTAATCCCAGGTTAATCACAAAAGCAATAGCTTTTCCACTCTGCCATCTTTCACCACAGAGCAGTCCTAAACCAGAAGGGAAAATTTGGGAGGCACCCCTCCAGGCTCCCCACCCCAGAAGCCTTCCACAAAGCAAACTGAAAGATGTGAACAGAACGCTGTCCAGAGTGCTTCTTCATGTGGAAAGGGAAACGCTGAGAAAAGCCTACACGAAGGCTCAATAATGAAATTAAACTCACGGCTTTGAGAACACTCAAACCACATGGACGTAAGCAAGTAACAGCGAGCAGTTAACCTCACTCTAGAGTTAGACTCCTGGCTATCCCACAGCAGACCCTTCCCCTTCCAGCTCCTCTCACCATGCAATCAAGTAGACACACACCGTGGGGCCCCGACTGCAACTGAATTCAGTGCCAATCAGGCTCTTCCCCTTACAACACACACAAAACTGCTGAGATGAAATGTGGAATAAAACAAAAGTACTAAGAGGTACACTGTGACTCACTCTGACAGCTTCCCTGATAAATGTCACTAGCAAGTAGTTAACAAACCACGGAAAAGTTTGGGGCTCCAGGCCAGGCCCCTAAGTTAGAAACCATGGAAAAACAATCACGCTATGATTTCAGAAATTAACACTTTTTTAACACAGGTTTTTTTCGTTTTCTAGTAGCCGCTCTCCCGAGTCCGGCCCTGGGTGCACTGGGAGTCCACTCGGTACAGCGGGGTCTCCCACACCATGGAGGCCGCCAGACCTTCTGGCCTGAAAGCCTGCGGCCACACCGGAGGCCTTCCAGCACACAGATTCAACGGACTGGGTCACGAGCTAGTGCAGCATCGGGCCTCTCGTTGCTTTCAAGCAAATCGACGTTGTCAGAGAAAAAAACCAACCAACAGGACGCTCCAGGGACGTTAAGGCACCAAAACGCAGCACGGTGAACGCGGCCACCATGTGATCCCCTCAACACCCGAATCTCGCGGCGTTAACACTTGCAAGCAAATATACCCGAACGAACTCCCTGCTGCTAAGGGACCCAACGACAGCCTCTGCCCCACGCTCCATGAACACAACGATCACTACGGCGTCCCCGCTTAGCCAAGCTCTTCCTTGTCTGAGTGCACTCGTGACAAAGACTTCCCAAACAGCCATGTCGAGGCCGTTAATCCCGGGCGGACGTTCAACCGGCGCCCCCCGAGGCCGGCAGCTGTCCGCGGGCGCCCCCCAGCTCGCGGCGCGGGCTCGTGGGGCTCGGCCGGTCGCGCGCGGGGCCCGAGGGAGGCGAGGCCGCCGGGAGGACCGGGAGGACCGGGCCGAGGGGACCGGAGGGTCCGGCTCGAGCCGGGCTGTCGTCCTTCACCGAGTGGGCGAGGGCGCGCAGCAGGCCGCGGGGCGGGGGCGGGGCGGCCGGCCCGGGCAGCGCGCGTCGCGGCGGCCGGAGCGCACGGGGGTCCCGGGCCCCGCAGCGCGGCCGTGCCCCCGGGGGTCGCTGCCCGGGCCGGCCGGGGGGTGCGGCCGTCCCCCCGCAGGGCGCTCCCCGCGACGCCATCTTGGGTCGGTCCGGCGCGCGCTCGGGCGGCCGGGCCGGGCCGGGGCCAGCAGCGACACCCCTCACCTGCGGGCGGCGGGCGGCGGGCGGCGGACGCGAGGCTGCGAGGACCGGGCGGCGGCGTGCGGGGCTCCCTCACCGACTGCTTCCCCCCGGGCTCCACTCGGCGGTAACGGCACGGCGGCGGCTCCACCGGAAACGGCCCGGCCGCAGCCAATCGGGGCCCGGCTGCTGACGTCAATGGGCCTCGCTCTGGCCAGAGCCGTCGCCTTGGCAACCTTAAAGGCGCAGCGGCCCAGTTCCTCCTCTCCGCCCTCCTCTAGGGGACCCTCGCCCCTCCTTGCGGCCTGCCTGCCATCTTTCCTCGACTTTGATCCGTAGCCTTTGCTTCACTCTTGCTGCTTCCCTCCCGCCTGTTCGGGCCTGGGTTTTTCCTGCCACCTGTTCACCTGTCCATCCTTACCTGTCCCTCTCTCGGTGTCTCGGATCCTCTGGATTCTGGGCTTCTCTCCGCGGACTTTGTCCAGAGCCCTCTCTCCTTCCCCTCCGCTCGCCTCTGCTCCTGTCCTCCCACTCTCACTCCAACCTCCCCGCGCGCCTGGGCCTTTTCTCCCTCCCTCCTCGCCCTCCGCGCCGCCCACGTGGGACGTCTCGGATGACAGGTGGGCGACTCCGCCCTGCGGCCCCTGCAGGGAGCGGAGGGGGCGGGGTGGCCGCGGCTGGCCGGCCCCGGTGGCGGATCTGCAGCAGCTGCCCGGCGGATGCCCAGCTAGGGTGGATGCCCGGGGTGCGCACGCCTGGCAGGGGCCAGAGCGGGGCCTGGCCGAGCGGGGCCTGGCCGAGCGGGGCTCCGGCCTGGGGGCCGTCATCCGGTCCAGGAAATCTGAGCCCTGGCCCCTCAGGGGTGCTGTCGTCAGAGGAGGCCACCCAGTCCCTAGAGGGCCGAAGCCCGGGCTTGCACTGGGAGTGGGGTTAGGGGGTGTTGGCAGACTCTCTCAGGACCCCCGGGCGAGCGGGACGAGGCTGCACGCACGAAGGAGGGATTCCCGAGCTAAAACGACTTGGTTTCTTCAGCCATTTTCCCCCGCATCACAGCATCTGCCTCTGGATAAAGAAACACAGCGCGGGAGACAGTGTTTTTAGACAGAGACAGCAAGTCGCTAAATGAATACGGAAATGCAGACCTGGGGGTGGGCGCATTTACTTGCATCGCATGGCATTCCCCGGGCTGCATAACTAATGGATCCAACAGTACCGAACGCAGCACATCTCACCCAAAATACTGATTCCGGGGTAAAATGAGAATGTTTAGGATGTATCAGCTTAAGGTTTGTATTTTTTTTTTTCCCTAGTGGAGCTGCCCTGCCCTGCCCACTCCCTGCTCAAGGAAATCCCCCAGCCTGAGCGCCAGCGACCTGCTGGTCAGACCACAGCTTCTACTCAGCGTGGTCATCCTACGGCTTTCCGCAGAGGAAGCCACGGCCATGGGAGACTTAGTCTGCAGAGGGACCTGCCCAAGCTTAGTGGCTGCTCTCCCCGAGGCCCGGCCTTTCTCCAGAGGTGAGAGCTGCATGGTGGACTACAGACAGAACCTCTCGGTCACATAGGATTTCTCCTTCACGGGTACAAAGACGGGACTGACAAACCCCACGCTAAGCTGGCACGCTGGAGGGAATCTGATAGCCTTGGGCAGGCCCTGTCAGGTTCTGGGCAGCAAACATCACAGATCAATCTGGGTTTGGTTTCCGGCTCCGGCCATCTCCGGTAATTGATTTAATCTCCATGAGCCTCTGACGGAAAGGGACAAATGGGGCTGCGTTCAAAGTCGGTTAATGGAGATGGTAACAGCAAACACGTAATCATTGCACACTGTGCCTGGGCACTGTCCTAAGTGTTGCACACATAGTAATTAGCGTAATCCTCATGACCTCTCTATGTCGTGGGTATTCCTATAACTGTTACCGAAAGAGCATGTTACACGGAGGAGTGACTTGCCCAACGCCACATGAGCTAGACCCAGCCTGTGGTCGCCAGCCAGTCTCTTTTGACACCTCTCCTCCTCCGTTCAGACCAGATGCGTTAGGTACTAACTCTGCTTGCCACTTCCCCCGCTTCCTAATGAGCTCCCCAACTCCGCGTTGGGACTGAGTGGTTCCGTGCCCTAACCTTAGCCATCCTCGGGGCAGTTAAGACTCTTGAACTAAGGAAAGGAAACGAGCTGGTGACTTTGAACAAGTGCTTCCTTGCTAAGACCTGGCCGCTGCGTGTTCCCATTCAGCGACACGCGGCGCTCATTCAGCCACGGAGCTGCTTCCTGTGTCAGCTGCACGGGGCCTTGCCATGACTGCCAACTCCTCATATGCCAGGGCTTTGTGAGACAAAAAGGGAAACGGGCGGTGGAGAGTGGAGCCTGGCTGGGGAGCGTTCCCCAACACAGCTGTTTGGAACAGCCCAGGCAGAATCCGTGCTCTCCAAAGGACGTGAATGCCCCACTACCCTCATCCCACGGCAAGAATCCGGACTTGTCAGTTACATCTCGGAAATGCCACCTGTTCCCCTGAGTTTCTTCCTGCTCTCCCTTTCCCTGAGGCCCTCTGCCCACCATGCCAAGATCTGTTGGCCTCTGCTTTGGCCTAGGTCCTTGCCAGGCTCAATAAAATAAGTTTTGTTTTTTTTTTTAATTTTATTAGAAAGTCAGATTTCACAGAGAGAAGAAAACAGAGAAGATCTTCTGTCCCCTGGCTTACTCTCCAGGTGGCCCCAACAGCCAGAGCTACACCGATCTGAAGCCAGGAGCCAATTCCAGGTCTCCCATGCGGTGCAGGGTCCCATGCCTCTGGACCATCCTCCACTGCTTTCCCATGCCACATGCAGGGAGCTGGATGGGAAGTGGAGCAGCTGGGATATGAACCAGTACCCATCTAGGATCGTGGTGCATGTAAGGCGAGGATTTAGCCACTAGGCTATCACACTGGGCCCAATAAATTTTGTGGGTAGCAATATTGCAAGTAACTGTTCCTCTAAAACAAAATTTCATGACTGCTATTAGAATATTTGTGAAATAATAGCCTCCAAAAATATTTAAGCAAAGAAAATGTCAACAGTACATGTTATCAGCAGGAGCAAATTTTAGGGAAAACAGGTAAAGGGACCATCACCATGGCATAGTAGGCTAACCCTCTGTCTGTGGCACCTGCATCCCATATAGACATCAGTTCAAGTCCCAGATGTTCTCCTTCCAATCCAGCTCCCTGCTTGCAGCCTGGGAAAGCAACAGAGAATGGCCCAAGTCCCTGGCCCCTTTACCCACATGGGAAACCCAGAGTCCTGGCTCTTGGTTTCCAACAGGCTCAGCTCTGGCTATTATCTCCATATGGAGAGTGAACTGGCCAATGGAAGGTCCCTGTTGTCTGTGTGTGTGTGTGTGTGTGTGATATCTCTGCAGCTCTGCCTTTCAAATAAAAATACATTTTAAAAAGAAGAAGAAAACTAGAGCATAAAAAGAAGGGATACTTTTGGAAGAAACATACTTCTTAGTGTTCCTTATGCTTGATTTTCCGTTGGTGGAGTGGACGTTTAGTGCAGTGGATCAGACACCGCTTGCAGTGCCTGCCTCCCAGTTCAGAATGCCTGTCATGGAGGCCCAGCTCTGCTTCTCCCAGCCTCTTAGTGATGTGCAGCCTGGCAAGCAGCGGTTGATGACGCCAGTTCTAGGATAGGAATCCTGCTGCTTATGGGGGAACCCAGATGGAGTCACTGGCTCCTAGCTTCAGGATTACCCAGCCCCAGCTATTGCAAACATTGAGAAGTAAGCCAGGGCATACAAGAGATTGTTCTCTCTCTCTCTCTCTCTCTCTCTCTTTCTTCCCTCCTTTAAGACAAAATGAAAATAGTCGGGCTGGTGCTGTGGCCTAGTGGCTGAAGTTCTTGCCTTGAATGCACTGGGATCCCAGCTGGGCACGGCTTTTGGTCCTGGTGACCCACTTCCCATCCAGCTTCTTGCCTGTGGCCTGGGAAAGCAATCAAGGACGACCCAAAGCCTTGGGATCCTGCACGCGCATGGGAGACCTAAAAGCGGTTCCTGGCTTTGGATCAGCACAGCTCTGGCCATTGCAGTCACTTGGGAAGTCAATCATTAGATGGAAGATCTTCCTCTCTGTCTCTCCTCTCTGTATATCTGACTTTGGAATAAAAATAAATAAATTTCTAAAAAAATGAAAATAGTCAATTTTTAAGCAAATTCACATTTCTTCAAACATATATGCACACATCACAGATTTCCAACAAGATCTTTGCCACTGCCACCAGCTGTTGTTGTGTAGCATGTTCTGATTATCTGGGCTGCTAGGGGACCCGGACTTGTGGTTTCGGATGTTTCCCAATTCCAGCAAGTATCCGAAAGACAAGTCTTCCCGCTTCTCTCACTGGCAGAGGCTTATGCAGGCTAAGGAAGGGTCTTTACCTTGAGTATTAACTGAAAATATTAACCGAGAAGCCAGAAGGGTGGCAATCTTGGGCCTGATACCAAGGCGTGTTCCAAGTGAAGATATCGCCACCCAAAATAACAGATTGAAGTCCAGCACGTTCAACAAGAGAGAGCTGCGTTAGTGCT